TAGTTCTGATCAAGGTCTACGTAACAAGGCAAGAAAATTTGGCGTAGACCACACAGAATATCTTGAATAATATTTAAATAACTCTCAAGACCCTCCCAGTAGGTGCTATTCATCTACATGCAAGATTAACTTTAAATCAGAAGTCTACTTCGAACATATTTCAAAGATTATAAAATAATTATGACACCTGCTACCATCAGTGCAAGCAGGAACAGTAAAAGTTGTTTTCAGTAGATTGAGTTTTTACTAAAGCCTTTAAACATTGTTACAGGATTTCCCACTTTTTAAACACTTGTCTTGAAGCCTAGCTTAATTTATTGGTTCTTACACTATACTCCATCATATGCATATGAATATGTATGTGTATACATATACACACACACGTATACACACATTTACATTAATGAGTACCATTTTATGTGTATATACACACAAACACATCTATACATTACAAATTATCATTTTATGGTACTTTCTTGTTGACCCCGTTACAGTGAGAGCTTAGATTCAGCTGGTTACTTAGGAAGCTGTAACTATTTTCAAAGATCTGTCGGTCACAGTTAAGTTCTTCACTCTGTAATTCTGCATTCTTTATTCATAGATGTATGACCTTACACTTAGATAAATGGAGAATATATATCATCTCTTGCCAAAAATAAATGGTTTTAAAAAGCTCTGGGTGTTCAGGAATGTTATGTGCGCATACAGCTCCTTACCATGTAGTATTTATTCTGCACAAGCCATGAACTAGAAAAGTAAACACTAAACCTCACTGGTAGAGAACTGAGCTATGAGAAAAATGTAATAGTCTGTCTAGAAAGTCCACAGCAGAATAAGGTACTGAACATAATCTTCAAGACTTATTCCAAAAGTAGAATTGTGCACCATTTTCCTTCTCCATGTATTTAAAGCTTCCTCCCAAAAAAGGGGGAAGATAGAACCCAACACAACTCTTTAATAATAAAATGATAAAAAGTACTTATACAGATAGGCTGGATAAGTGAAAATACAATAAGTTAACTGGCATTTGCTTTATTGGCAAAATATGGTTTGATTTATTAATGACTTCTAAGTTTATGATATTTGGGAGTTTGGGGGGGTGGGGAGGGGTGTTTTGTTTGGAGGATTTTTTTGTGTGTGGTTTGTTTTCTTTTTTAACAGATGAAGTTTATAAATAGATAAATTTAATTGTGTTGGCGTTTCTTGTGTCTTAAAAACGTCCTGTAATTTATCAGGTACTATTAGGTGACAGCTACAAGAAACATGGTTAAAGAAAATCAGAAGACTGCCACTGCATCATTTTTAAAGGAAGCTGCTGAAATGAATTTATGAACTCCACAGTTTCATAAACTATATTTACAAATATCCTTTTAATAATTCAATTATATATTCTTTAATTTTATGTAGGGACACTCATTTTGATTCAGAGCATGTCCACAGGCTTCACCACAGTTTAGATTTCCTGCTGTAC